TGTTTGTTTATTTGTTTACTGTGTGTTGTTTTGTTTACAGTTTGTTTGTTTGTTTATTTGTTTGCTGTGCATTGTTTTGTTTACTGTGTTGTTTTGTTTACAGTTTGTTTGTTTGTTTACTGTGTAGTGTATTGTTTTGTTTACTGTTTGTTAGTTTGTTAGTTTGTTTACTGTGTGTTGTTTTGTTTACTGTGTTGTTTTGTGTACAGTTTGTTTGTTTTCTGTGAATTGTTTTGTTTGCTGTTTGTTTGTTAGCTAGTTTGTTTACTGTGTGTGGTTTTGTTTACAGTTTGTTTATTTCTTTACTGTGTATTGTTTTGTTTACTTTTTTTAGTTAGTTTGCTTACTGTGGGTTGTTTTGTTTAATGTATTGTTTGTTTGTTTACTGTGTGTTGTTTTCTTTACTGTGTGTTTGTTTACTTTGTGTTTTCAGGTGAGCCGTGTACAGCTGCTGTACGTTCTAAACGAGCTCTGACTTCAGAGGAAAAAGTAGCTAAAGGTGAGAGTTCACCTGCTTCCTCCAGCACCTCCTGCTCACACCTGGTCGTCCATGCGGCTGATCTATTATAGTCCATAAAAACACAAGAGGAAAGAAAAAAACTGTTTAAAAAGTTGTAAACTGGAAAACCTGACATGATAAAAGAAACAGTCTAAAACAAAATTATTCTAAAAAACAGGTAATTAACTTATAGTATTTGTCTTAAAATGGCAAAAGTCTTAGATAAATTCAGGTGAGACGACCCGACGTTACTTTGAAAAGGCTAAACTGTCAGGTAACAGCCATGAAATGTGCTCGGATAAGTTGCACGAGGTTTCAGGGATGATTACGTTAAGTCATGATCACGTGATCTAATGAAATGTCTCCAAATCAAAACGTGAGTTAACCTCAGACAGAATAAGGTCAGAAGTCACCAGAATATGACCGAAGAGAAGCTGATGTCCAGATGTTGCCCACTGCTTTAACGTGGCTCTGAGCGCACCGACCGTTAAAACCGTTTATTTTTGTTGTTCCTTGGTTGTTTTCCCAAGTTGTTTGAAACTGTCCTTAAAAACAATCAGAGAAAAACTGCAAGCCTCACCAATGACACAGAAACTATGTCAACAAATAAAATAACCAAAAACTAATTATTGATAAATGATATAATGTGAAAATATTATATATTAATTATATGAATGATTATTAATTATTATTTATGTAAAACAGCCACACAAAAACATCCAAAAAGAAACCACAAACAACAACACAAACCGCTACCACAAACAACAAGACAAAAACAAGCCAAACAACAACAAAAAACAACAATCACAAAGCCAACATAAACAACACTACAAACAACTACACAGAAAACAACTTCAACAAGAACCACAAAAAACAAAATAAACAATAACACAAACAGCAACCATAAATTGTAACATAAACAACAATACAAACAACTAAACATACAACTTCCCAAACAACAACATAAACAGCAACATAAAATAATCAAAAACAACACAAATGAAAACCTAAACAAAACACACAACAACACATACAACAACCATAAACAGCATAAACAACAACCTACAACAACTATAGAAACAATACAAACAGAAAACACTCCTTAAAAAAAACTACCACAAAAAACATAACAACTAAAATCAACCCATGCAAAATTAACCACCAAAAAAAACTACAACACAACAACAGCAACATAAACAACAACCCATACAAAAAGCATTAACAAGAAAAAGAAACAACAACATAAAGAGCAGCATTAACAACAAATGAAACAAAACAAAGAACAACATTAACAACTAAACAAACAACAACATTAACAGAAACTTAAAAAACTACTATCAAAAACATAAACAACAAATAAAAACAACAATAACACAAACTACATGATAAACAACAAATGACAATACAAACTGCAATGCAAACAGCAACATAAACAACAACAAAAATAAAACAAATTATAACAACATAAACAAATAAAAAACACTAGCAACAACATAAACAACAACACAATTAAATAAAAACAAATAACCACACAAATGACATGATAAGGAGCATCATAAACGACAACACAAATAACAACATTAACAACCACACAAAGTAAAACAAAAGCAACATGAATAACAACATAAACAACATCATAAATAACATACAAAAACAATATCAAACGACAACATAAGTAACATCCAAAAATTACAACATAAACAACTGCATAAATAACATAAACAACACAATCAACTAACACAACCAACAGCATAAATAATATCCATATACAACACAAACAACAACATTAACAAAACAAACAATGACATAAAAACCAAAAACAACAACACAAACAACATAATAAATAACATAAAATGCAATAACACAAACAACAACATAAACAACGCAATGACATAACAATCAAAACCAACAACACAAACAACATAATTAACAAAAACAAACAACAACACAAACAACAAAAACCCAGAGGAGACACATGAGAAACCTTCAGTGTTTTGTTTATGTAACAACGGACCCGAATCACACGTCCATGACTCCAGTGGTTCTGAGCCCTGACCCGGGTCGTGTCCCTGTCCAGCCAGAGCTTACGGCCCGTTTAAGGTGTGCTGTGAAAGGGGCATGAAGCACATCCCAAAAGTCATGACCTGCCAGCAGCTAGCCGAGCAGAGCGTCAGGAAACCCAAAAACGAGCTGTGCATCCGAGCCTTCAGGGAGTGCTGCGAGTACATTCAGAAGAGCATTGCCACGGAGGACACACTTATGCTGGGACGAACAGGTGAGTCCAAACCGGTCCCCGAGGCCCCAGTGACCCCCTGGTCCTGAATGAACCGAGTGTTTGTGTCTGTGTGCAGTGGTGGATGCAGACTTTGACCGGTCTCTGATCCGGAGCTACTTTCCAGAGAGCTGGTTGTGGGAGGTTCAGCGCACCAGGTGACGTCCATCAGTCAAAACTTCAGCTGCTTCACTGAAACTGATCAAAGTCCCATCATTCAGGCCTCATCAAACAGTCCCACGTGCACTTTGGTTTTACTAAAGTCTGGGTCTGTTCTGGTTTCTGGGTGGATTTAACAGGAAACCGTCGGTCCTTCAGCAGTGAGACACCGAGTGTCTTCAGTAGAGAAGTTTCTATCGTTCTCTCAGGCAACGTCTTTGCTGCTTCTAGTCAGCATTTTACTACTTTTATTATAACTAGCTAGTTGTCATTTTTAGATTTTTAGTACAGTAGTCCCTCATTTATCACGTGGTTCCTTACCCTGCCCCCGCAAAAAGTGGAAAACCACAAAGTAGAGAGACAGTAGTCCAAGTTCAAGTTCAGTTCAAGTTCATTAAACTTTGTCATGACATGTGCCAGGCTGCAATCAAACTCATCACCTGTTACTCCCAGTCTCCCTCCTTAAATAAAGAATTTAAATTTAAATTCTGTAACAGTTTAAATCAACAATCCATGCAGCATGGATTGTTGATTTAAACTGTTACAGAATTTAAATTTAAATTGTAGCGGAGAAGTGCAGCAGGACATCAAAGGGTTAATTAACCCTTCACAAATCTGCTGCAGGAGAAATGTGGGCGTGGCAGAGAGCCACAGCTGGCAGAGAGCCACAGCTGGCAGAGAGCGAGGGACAATCCTAATGGTACATTTAGCCGTCATGTAGCCTTTTGCTACATCAAGTTTAGCTAGACTGTGGATACTTTAAGCTGACATTTTGCGACCTTTAGCTAGTAGTCTGCTTCCTTTAGCTTTAAGGAGTGTGCCATGTGAACATTCTGAGCTGAACAATGTTGCTGAAGAAGCAGAAATTAGGCTGTTAGTTAAAAATATAGAATAGAAACAAAAGTTACCAAAACCAAAATGAAAAGCTAAGATTAGCAAATCCGCAGATAAAACTCTTATCAGCTAAAATCTAAAATGAGCTAAACAAAAGCTTAGACAACAATTACTAAAGCAGCATTTTCCTATTCTATTCACGACCAGACAAACTTTGTTAAAGTTAAATATTTTTATCAATTATAAATCTTTGTAAAACTGAGTTAAAGAGCTCATCTTCTGAACGAGCTGAACGTTTTAACATGTGCTAATGCTAACGCAACATTTACAGTAAACAGGATTTGTTTGTGACAACACCTCAGCTGAATTTAGTAAACTGAACAGTTCTTGTGAGCAAAGAGATAAGTCCACAGCAAATCCTTTAAACTTTTCCTTAAATGTTTAAAATTCAGAATAAAATCCTAAATCTGATAGTTCTGCTTTAAAAATCTGATAAATATTGCTACACCTGCTCCGACCTTCTGGAGTTTTTTGTCACTGATTGTGAAGAAATGCCTGAAAAAAGATGGGAAACTTCCATAAATCCAGTTTTACAACGTGTCCCTTCAGTTTCTGTGTTTGGGTCTTCAGGTCCCACCAGCTGCTCGTCACAAAACCTCTTCCAGACTCTCTGACAACCTGGCAGATTAAAACTGTCGGCATGTTCCAGGACGGTGGGTTCATCGTCTCCACACCTTCATCTCCATCACGTTCAGCACCTCTCTAACTCTGGTCGTGTCCTCCAGGGATGTGTGTTGCAGATCCTGTGACGGTGTCGGTCAGTCTACCGCTTAGTGTCGACATCCCGCTGCCCTATCAGGTGGTCCGAGGAGAACAGCTGGAGCTGCAGGGCTCTGTGTACAACCAGGAGATCGACAGCATCACAGTAACCAACTAGAACTACATTTCCCATGATTCTTTCATGTGTTAATATGCAGCACTTCATACTTCAAGGAACCTACTCTTCCTACAGCTCAGACTGTTGTCCTTCTGCCTTTGGCAGCAGGAATGATTACAGATGAATGTTTATCCAAAACAAAAAGGGACTCCAATAACAAGCCCTGAGGTATGCCCAAAATAAACAAAAACACCCATCTTGTTGATTTTGGTGTTTTTCGTCCCTCAGTATTGTGTGACGCTGACAGCCGGGCCGGAACTCTGCCTGCTGCAATCCCAGCTGGCCACCGGAGGGGCGGGGCTTCACTCCACGGCCTGCACCTGGAGCCGCCTTTCTGCAGGTGGGGTGGGCCAAGTGAGCTTCACTGTTTTGGGCCTGGAGCCTGGAGAACACACTCTGACGTTCACCCTGAAGACCCAGACCGGACCTGTGGACGTTGTGAAGAAGACGCTGCGTGTGGTGGTACGTAGAGCCGACACAAGGAAGTTACACCTCAGAGCTCAGTGTTTGGGGAAAATGTCCGACCCCTGAGGTCCACCCTCCTTCAGATGCTTCTGTTCACTGAAGGTTCTGCTCGGCTCTGCTCTCTGGAGGTCCCAGCACTGCATTTCAGTCCAACTGAGGTTCTGGTCTCAGACTGGACCATTGCGGCACTTTAGTTCTGTTCTTTTTGACCCGTTCTGTTGTAGATCAGCTGATGTGTTTGGGACCATGGTTCTGTTGGGTCCAGTTTGGTCCAAGCTTCATCTGTTGGACACATGGGCTCACATCTGACTCCAGAACTCTTTGGTCTACCGAGGAGGTCCTGGTCCATTCAGGGACTGACAGGAGCCCGAACCATCAGCCTCCACCACCGTGCTGACAGCTGGAGGAGCTGTTTGCTGCAATGCATTCTGGGTTAACATCTGTCCTCTGGTTCTGGTCCAGAAGTCTGGTGGTTCCTTCAGATGAAACTTTCCAAAGACAGTTTGAAAACGACCTTTGACCTTAGACTGATGAACGCTGAGGTCATTGCTGATGTCTGTCTGCCTTGGTGTTGTGGTGGAGGTGGTCCCTCAGATGATGACGCAGCAGCTCCTGGCTGATCCTGAGCCTCTGAGATCCAGTGGACACACCGAGTCCGGAACCAGTTTTTGTTCTGGTTGAGGTCAGATTTGAGTCCATTTGGAACCGGTTGACTCGATCCGGTTCTTCATGTAGGTGTCCGGTTGTTGAAATCTGAAGTTGAGCAGAAGAACCCTGAGATGTGTGAAGAACATTCACCTGCAGGTCCGAATGTCGGATCTGTTCTGAGCACGTTCCTCAGCTTCCTGTGGACTCGGCGCCTCGGACCGGGTCGTGCAGGGTTCTGTTTGACTCCAGTCTCGTTGTGTTTGCAGCCTGAAGGAGTGAGACAGGAGGTGAATTCTGGAGGGACACTGGACCCGCAGGGACTCTATGGTGAGCAGACTCTCCAGTTCTGGTCCACAAGAACCTGCTTCATGTTCTGATAAATCATAAAGTCAAGAGGAAAAAATGATTTGGTCCAAACCAGAAAATGTTTTGTCGGCTTGTCTTCAGGCCTTCAGCTCGTTCGTCCTCTTCAAACTCTTTTAGCTGCTTTCTTTCTTCATCATGTAGATTCAAACAACTTGTGTAGCCGAAGTTCGGCTGTTTGGCCTCCAGCTCCTCTGAGTGTTTGAGAAGGGAACGTTTGTCTCGTCAGGTTCTGTGTAAGTCTAACGTTTGGACTCTGGTTCTGTGCAGGCTCGGAGAAGAGACGGGTGGTTCTGAAGAACAGCCTGCCTGAAAACGTGGTGCCCGACTCGGTGGTGGAGAGACTGCTGACCATCAACGGTACCGAACTCTTCAGAGCATCTTCACGCCTCACATGGCCCTTCAACACAAACAAACAAACAAACAAACAAACAAACGGACTGCTTTGATCTTAACGGCTGTCAACAGGCTGAGCTCAGGAGCTGTGAAGAAAATCTGGAAAACTTCAGATTATTGAATTTATACAAAATGAAAGTTCAAAAAGCTTCAAAGTGTCTCGAGTTTAAACGTTCATCACGAGAATGAAAGAAAAATAAAACTTTACCTGAAGGTCTGAGTTAATTTATAAAAACTAATTATCACTAAGAAGAAGAAGAATTATCTCCAACTTAATTAATTAATCATTTATTTCATGTTTTTGTTTTATGAACTAACTCTTTGAAAGTGAATAACTTCAGCTGTTTCTTCAGAGTTTGTTAATTTGGACAGTTTGACGTGATAAACTAAACTGGTCACCATTAACTTCACACAGACTCTCCCACTGGTACATCTTCATCTTTAAATCACTTCCTGGTCTGCTGCCTTCATACATCTCCTCCTACATGTCTCTGTGTGAGTGCAGCTACAGCGTGCGCTCTCAGGACATCATTACCTGCAGTGTTCCCTCAGTGAGGACTGAACTAGACAAAAGGACCTTCTCCTGCTCCGCTCCTGTTTCCTGGAACATCTTGTAAAAACACCTGAAGCTCTCGACCTTTGACCTCTCTAAGTGGCTTCAAACATCTGTTCAGTTCCTGTTTTTAGTTTTCTACACCGCCTTATAATCCAGATGTGTTTATTTTGTTTTTTGTGTATCATTTTCTTTCATTTATTTTTCTTGCATTCTTTATGATTGTCTTCTGTCGTCATCATTCTTTGTTGGGTGTAACTGGAACCGTGTGTGCACAATTTCGTTCCACCTCATGTACCACATGTGATGTGAATGGCTTTGTTAAACCAGGTCTCTCTTGTAAACGAGTCCTCGAGGCTCAATGAGACTAACCTGTAGAAATAAAGGTTGAATGAAAAACACAAGGATCAGAAAGGGACGTAAAGACCAAAGAAACACACAAAGGGACAGATTATGTCCATCAGGAGGACATCTCAGAAGTCAGGACCTCCTGTCTGAGCGGCTTCGAAAGAGACGGACGCTCCTTCTTGTGTTACAGCTCCAGGTGGACCAGACAGACGGTCCATTTAAGCAAACTCAGAAGTGGAGCCCTGCGGGGTTGCCTGATGATGAAAGGCATTAGCTTCAGTCTTGAACTGGTTCCAATGGTCAGACGTGCTGGTAGGTCACAACTGGCTGGCCCTGAACGTCACCTGGGGTCTGTACAGAGAGTCAGGTGCTGCGGTTCTGGACCTCGGCATAGAGGTCCCAACAAAACATGGCTGCCATGTTTCCTTGAAGACTTGGCTTGAAACTTGAACGGACTTTACCGATTTGAAAGTAAAATAAAATTCTAACTTTTAAATGTTAGACTTTTCTAAGCTTCATCTTGTTCTCCATCGTTCTTCTCACGATTCTGACAAGAGTGAACTCTGGTCCACCCACACTAGAGTGTTCCTAAAACGTCTTCATCCAGTCAGGCTTCTCAGACGAGTTCTGACTCTGGGTCTTTGTTTTCATACAGAAACATCTAATTTAATCTCAAATCCTTCTTCTGCCTCAACATTTCAATTAGAAAAAGAAAATAAGAAACATTATATTTTATTAAGAAAGATTAGTCAGAACACACTCTTTGTTTCTTTCACAAACATTTGCATAAAACTGGAGCGACATCTGAGTTAAATTAAAGGGAACATGCAGTTCTTCCAGCAGAGGGAACTGTTGGGGCGCAGGTTCCCTGCAAAAGAAGTTTGTTCTTAGGAAGAACATCCATCCATCCATCCATCCATCCATCCATCCATCCATCCATCCATCCATCCATCCATCCATTTTCTTTACCCGCTTGTTCCATTTTGGGTCACGGGGGTCGCTGGTGCCCATGTCCAGCAATCACTGTGCGAGGGGCGGGGGACACCCTGGACGGGTCTCCAGTCCATCACAGGGACACATAGAGACAAACAACCATTCACTCTCTCACTCACACCTAGGGACAATTTAGAGTTACCAATCAGCCTAACATGCATGTTTTTGGACTGTGGGAGGAAACCGGAGTACCCGGAGAAAACCCACGCATGCACGGAGAGAACATGCAAACTCCACCCAGAAAGGCCCCTGGACCGGGGTTTGAACCAGCGACCTGCTCGCTGAGAGGCAGAAGCTCTACCAGTTGCGACACCGTGCTGCAGCTTAGGAAGAACAAAGAACTCTTTTTGTTATCGCTCAACACTTTAGAAACACTCCCTTTCTGCACGGAGTGATGGAGAACATCTGCTTCAACTCAGGAGGTCAGGTTCATAGAAAAGCTCTTTCAGGTTAATGAGTTCAGTTTGACAGTTGAAACTTGTTTGTTGTCCAAACTGGAGGAAACTGAAGAAAAGAACAGTTTAGATGATGAGGCAACGTTCACAGGATGACAGGAACTCTCTTATTTTAAAGTATCAGAAACATGAAAGACTTAGATGATAAACACTGATGTGTCACTGCACAGGTGTTCCCAGGTGTGCTGCACCTGGAAAAGGGAACAAGAAGTTCTTCCTGCAGACTCCTAAAGGTCTGTTTTTATGCACCAGGGGAGCTTCCAGTGGAAATTGTGAGAGTGATCCTTAAACCTGAAACCATCAAAGAACTTGTCAATCTGCCACCTGGGTCAGCAACGGTGGAGCTGGACAGGCTCCTCCCCATCATCCAGGTGTTTCGCTACATGGAGACGACAAGCAGCTGGAACATTCTGGGAGAAAACATCGAGAAGAACGCAGGAGACCTCAGACAACGAATCAAAGAAGGTGAGGAGACGATGAAGATGATTTTAACTGTGTTCACCTGTGTATGTGTGTGTTCACCTGTGTGTGTGTGTGTGTGTGTTCACCTGTGTGTATGTGTGTGTTCACCTGTGTGTGTGTGTGTTCTCAGGTCAGGTGGCCCTCAGCTCCTTCAGGAACGGGGACTCCAGCTACAGCGCGTGGATCAAGGGCGACCCGAGCACGATGTGTGTGATGTCATCAAGCCTGAACGTTAAAAATCAAATTTAAAGTTTGAATTTCTACATTTTTTAAATTAATTCATTAAATGAAAAGTTAAAAACTTCCTGAAGCAGCTGCTGAGAACAAGGAACCATAAAGGAAGACGAACTGAACCAAACCTTAACTCAGCTGCCAGAGGTTCACTAGGGTCGCCATGGTAACCACACCCAGTGTCTGTCACTCCCTGACTGCCAAGTGGGACTGTGGGAGTAAAGAGCGACCGTCTGCAACATACTTGAACGGTTTTGTCAGCTCAGACGTGACATCATCAAGGGTCAGTGAGGAAACGTTCAGTAAATCCGTTCAGTCGTCGGAGCGTCGGTTCGGTCCAGTTCAACTTTCTGTGACCCGTTTAAACGTTGAAGGGTTCTGGCCTGAAGTCCGTCTGAGCTGCAGAACCAAGAAGTTTGTGCTCCTGCTTCAGCAACATCCCACTGAGCTCCATTATTATTTAGATGATTCTGTCTGCGCTGTGTGATGACCTGCTAAAATTCAGCTGCTAAAGTTCAGCTGCTAAAGTTCAGCTACTAAAGTTCAGCTACTAAAGTTCAGCTACTGAAGGTCAGCGCTGTGCGGTGAATAATCTGCACGTTTAATTTCATCGCTGACTGATGAAACAGGAAGAACAACATTAAATAAAGTGACCGTCAGGCAGGAAGAGTTTAGCTGCCATCAGGAGGGAGGGGTTTAACTGCCATCAGGAGGGAGGAGTTTAGCTGCCGTCAGGAGGGAGGAGTTTAGCTGCTGTCAAGAGGGAGGAGTTTAGCTGCCATCAGGAGGGAGGAGTTTAGCTGCCGTCAGGAGGGAGGAGTTTAGCTG